ACGCACACGTCACACGCACACGCACACGCACACGCACACGCACACGCACACGCACACACACACGCACACACACACACACACACACACACACATACTGGGTGTCCTCAGTATAAAAATTAATATCTCGTTAACGATTGCGAATTTTGCAAAATGGTACAGGACTTTTCTGTTCAGTTTCATCTGCTATACCTGCCCACGAGGTCTGGTGCGGTTATTATGGAACACCCTGTATATATATAATACATGTATACAGTACACTGATACAGCTTTGAGCAAAAGTATTGCGCACCTTATTAACCATTATTTGACGTTTAACTTAAAAATTGATTATGATATTTGTTGTTAATTATTCTTTGTTTTAAGAACCCTTTAAATTTACGTATATAAATGCCGGTAATCAATAAAAAACAAATAAAAAAGTAAAAGAAATCCAGCAGGGACGGAAACATCTTTATAGAAAATATAGGACTTTCTTTCTACACCCAGAGCTTCTGGGGATGTGGTTCCACAGAATTCGGGGTATTTAAAAAAAAGTATTTGTAAAGAATAAATATAGAAGAATATATGTAGAAAATATATTTCGCACAGAAAAGTCAAAAGTCTTGTAAGTCTTGAATTCTAGATGAATGAGAAAAATATAAGTATACTTTTAAGATATTTTTGAAATATTTTTGAGCTCAAGACTCTATTCACTATTATTATATTGCATATTTATAAATATGTAATATAGAGTATCTTATTTATATATCTGTATATTTATTAATTTTAAATCATACATATTAATTATATATATTATGTAATATTATAATTTAATATATAAAAATAAATATAATATATAACATATATATTTATTCATTAAATTTATTATTTATAACAATTAATTATATATAATTTATATATTGAATGAAATAACGGTTTGATATATTTAATATAGTTTAAGACAATTGTGAGAACGGCGATAATCGCGACCTTTCGTCGTGGATATCGATGACAACTTGACACTTTAGACATAAGCGTGCTACAGATGAATATTTAAGGCGCCCTATGCGAGGTTGTGTGAATCGATATTACATTAATTTAACAAGTGCGTACGCTATTACGTCCATAAGGGATCTGGCGCGAATGCGATGAAATTAAATTTACATAAGAATACCGACAAAGTAAGCTTCTACGTCAAAAGTTTCCGTAAGATGTTCCATGAGTTGTGCACATTACAGAGTTATTCAAAATCGAATGTCCTTAATATACCTAAAGCGAATATTTTTTTTAATTTTCCCGAAACTAAAGCTTTCAATAAGTTTTGCGGTAAATAAGAAATATAATATTATAGCGCAGAGTAAACACATAAAAAATTCTGTTTTAAACGAGTTTAATTGTCGTATATATAATTTTCAACACACAAATATATATAGCTCCCATCAAAAGTTCCGCACCGCCTAAATGATTTCTGAATAGTTAGAAATAGGATTGAAATTTATAGGGATATAATGGCACCATAAAATCTATCATTTTACTTCAAAAACACCCACTTTAATCTCCTCCCCCTCACCCCGAGGAAGGAATCTTAAATGGCAAATAAGGTCAAATTCTGAATGGGCTTTTTAAGAGGAGAACAACGCGAGCTGATCGAGGTCTCTACGATTCTTTTTTGCAGAGTTATTTAAATATTGGTGCTATTTAACGCTAACGAGGACGTGAGTGACACAGGCAGAGATCAGGACCCCTGCAGTTCGTCAGTCCCGCGGTATTTAACGACTTCATACACTTCCATCCACTCTGCAGGAACATGCACAAAGCCTTATGTCTTTCTCACGTGGGCCTCGCTAGCGCTAAACAGCACCAATATTTAAACGAGCATAACTCTGTGAAAAAAATTGTATAGATCTCAATCACCCCGTATTGTTCTCGTCTCAAAAAGCCCTTTCAAATGTTCTCATTCGAGACACCAAATTGATAAGATATATATAAAATGCGGACACGCCAAGTTTTTGCTTCACTGTGATTCCATTGGTCATTTTAGTCACTTTAAGCCTGTTTTATGAAACTTAAAAATATTTGGAAAGACTGGCATTAAACTTTTGCTGCATGTACTTTTAAATGGTTAAACGGTTTTTAAAAAAAAATTTTTGTTTCTATGTCTAATCAAATACTTAGCAACTTGTATGATCTCGTATTTGTTTTTGGACAATTATTTGTTAAAATAATATTTTTGGTTTAGGAAGGATGTAACGTACGATACTTTTTTATATACTTGGCGTAATCTTTTCTTTTTTAAAAAAGAGTTTTGGTAGGATTTTTCTATTCGAATTATAGACCCAACTTATTTATGAATAACTAAAAGTGTTAAATGTGTATATATACGAACGGGATTGTTCAGTAGTTCCTTAAAACGTTCCTCGACGGTCTGCCCCTTTTTTGGACGGATGAGAACGAAAATTGTGGCCACCCGGGGACACGAGCGCAGCAGCTTTTCCAGAAGAGCTTTTCCCAAGAAACCGGTAGCGCCAGTTAAGAGGATCACCGTCTCAGCGAAGAACGTGTCGATCGAACTTCCCCTCGAGTGAGCCTCGTCGTGTGCGTGTCCTGAATTGGTTTGTGCGTTCGTCGTACCCATTTTGATGTCTATTTCAGGCTCTACACAACTACAAAAACAAATGAGAAAATAAATTAGTAAATCGTTTCAATATTAATCGCTATAATATATGTTTTTCCAGAGCATAAAGATTTTTTTCTATTTGAAACTTATTGTCATATTAAATAAAGGTATTTTTTTTGTGTGCGCATTTACAAAGTTTGATTAATTCAACTTTAAATTTAAAAAATATATATATTATATATTATTAGAAATAATTAGTCGATCGACGTCGATTTGACTAATCAATTATGCGATTCCCTAAATGTTTAAATGTAAATTCGATTAATATTTTTTATATAAACAATATTTATAATATTTTATATATGAACAAAAAGCGATTGGTCGAATTGACGTTGATATATGAACAAGGAGCGACTGGTCGAATCAACATTGATCAACGTCGATTCGACTAATCAATTATGATTTCCTAAATGTTCAATGTAAATTCGATTAATATTTTTTATATAAACAATATTTATAACATTTTATATATGGACAAAAAGCGATTGGTCAAATTGACGTTGATCGACGTCGATTCGACCAATCGCTTTTTGTCCATATATAAAATGTTATAAATATTATTTATATAAAAAATATTAATCGAATTTACATTGAACATTTAGGAAATCATAATTGATTAGTCGAATCGACGTTGATCAATGTTGATTCAACCAGTCGCTCCTTGTTCATATATAAAATATTACAAAAATATTGTTTATATAAAAATATACATAATAAACATTTAGGAAATCACATAATAAATCAACACGCAACACACTCTCGCACAGACTGACACACACCCATCCATCCAACATACACAATATCCAACACACACACGCACACGCACACACACACACACACACGCGCACACACACACACACACACACTATATATA